GGAGGAGGAGGAGGAGGAGGAGGAGGAGGAGGAGGAGGAGGAGGAGGAGATTCTTGCGCATACACGGGAAATATGTCATGATCGTAATTCCTTTACTCTAATTAAATGACAAATCCGTTCAGCATCTTGACACCTACATTCTATCACGCACACAAATTGCATGATTGTGTGCGTGTGTGTAACTGATTGCAGATACAACTGGCCCTTGTTGAAGGTCAAACAGTTCGAATTGTGGTCCATTCACGTCGTACGATGCAAATTTAAGGTGTACACGACAACTTCACATCTCACACCGCTGCATGCATGTTTACTCCAGGAAAGGAGGGGCGGGGAATCTTGCACCTTTCCACGTTTTCAATGCTTTCCCTTCTCTATTCCCTTGATTACATTTTCCCAGGGTCCCGGTTGGTGGCCTCCACCTCTTCTTAGTGTTGCAACTAGCCTCGCATGACTTGACACGATAAGCGGGCTGTTGAGAGAATTGAAAAGGGAAAAGGCGAGAAAGTGGAGGAATTTAGGTCCTGTTTTGGCTTTCAAAAGTAAGAATTCTTGTAATTTTGATAAATTGCAACAGGCCGATGTTCTCCGAGTCCCAAGGGCAAAGACGAGAGGCGGCTCGCAGCAACGATCACACGAGACTCATCCATTTTACAAAACAATTCAACTTTGAAGTTGTTCCATTTAATGATTCAAAACAAAAAAAAAACAGTCTAGCTGTTTTGGACAGTCTTTCATCGTTATCGTAAAAGGTCTCATTTGTAGCTAAAATTATTAGCATAAACTTTACAGGAGCATTTTTAAAACGTGTCTATGTCAAAATTCCTTGACAGTAATGATGCCAAAGTGACAAGACATGTGGTGACTTACGGCTCTCTCCAGAGCTAATCCAGTTTCCAAGACAAGAAAAAAAATTGTTTCGTGAGAATTACTAGACTGTGGGTAAAGAAAAAAAAAATGAAGGCCTTGAATGTGGTACGGGGCGTTGAAGGCGGCAAAGCACACTGCAGACAGGGGGGAAAGGGGGTCGTGGAACTTAAGTTGCTTCCAAATAGACGTAAGTGAAATTGACTCCGCCTTCGGCAATTTCCTTCCACGTCGAAGTGGCTCACCTAACCGCCTCCCATTTCCCTTCCATGTTATCTTCTCACTATTTTCCCACTTGCCAACTTAGTCGATGGTGGGATGCAGTGCACAGTTGTTGGCACGCTCATCACCTCCAGCATTTTGGACGTTTGACCATTTCTATGGCGCTTCATTGCTAAACGTCCGAGCACACAAGTGTGGTGCTATACTGATTCCGAAGTTTCCAAATGTGTGGATAAGTGATTACGGACTGCATTGCCTTTTCAACTCTTCCACTAATTTGTGTAAATACATTAACCCTGAATATCGTCGACTTCCATGTGGAATGACAATGGATTGCCATTTGAATGGAATGACTGTGGTCAGTTGCATCTACACTTCCTTCAAGTCATTCAATAAAGACCGACCCAAGCCTTAACAGCCTCGAATCTCCATTCCCTTTCCTCTTCCCCATTGAGAAGTCTGGAGCCTTTGGAATAACCTGAAACAGTATTACCCTTTCTCCTGAAATTGTTATGAGGAATTAATTGGGAAAATGTTTACTCAAAGGTTTTATTTTAAATAAGCCATACTGACAGCTGTCTAGACCTTGCAACGCGGTCTCAACGCCATTCGCCTTGACAATCTGGCGTCCATTATGGAGGAATAGGCGGAAGGCGTCTGATGAAGCGACACATAAAGACGAGGCTGTAAATGCTCATTCATACTTGACAGTCCTAACAGACGTGCATACTACTAATTAGACACTCCAAAGTAGCATGCGAAAGATTAGTACGTAGGACTCACAGAGGTCCATCCGCTCACGAAAATGGCACAGCCAATTGCTTCAACAGTAGCAGAACTGTCTAACCCTAACCATTCCCCTAAAATAAGACTGTTTTGTGCTTGTCAGGACAAGACCAAGTACGAGGAGGAGAAAGAGAGTTTGATAGCTCAACTGAAGTTGCAAGAGGAGACGTCCACTGAAGGCTCACCCGTGATAACCAGTCCTGTAAAGACAGAGTCAAGTGCTTTGAGAGAAAAAAGTCCCGACGACGCATACACCTACCCAACTGCAGCATTTGCCTCCAACAGACCTCCACCCAACAGTTCGCCCATTTACTCCTCCCCGGCCAAGGATTCTCCTGTGCATTTCATTGGTGCATCGATGGATCCAATGACTGTAAGTATCCTCTAACCAAACAACTAAAGATACTGTTTCTACACAAAGTACACTTTACAAATCTGTTATTTGACGCATCTTGAATCCCTAAGGATGTCAGCAATTCAGGCTAGCTGTGAATCAGTCCAAGTTATTTGTTTTTCCTGCTGGGTCTGTTCGATGAGGTCACCAAAATGTTTGATTCCATAGGTGTTGCAGCCTTTTTTTTTTGACTTTTATGACTTTGTTAACACGATGCTAATCACTTTGCGCCTCAAAACACCATCGCAGGAGCAACAGGACCTGATTTAAGTCCCACCGTTGACTATTGGATGTCGTGTTGTCAGGGCAACGTTACACCTCTACTAGTGTCCGATTTGACGTGAACATTACAATATAGGTAGATATTCTTTTTTCCAAT